ACTAGTACTAGTACTAGTACTAAGACTAGTACTTGTAGTACTTGTACTAGTAGCAGTAGCAGTTGCAGTTTTTTCAACTGCACCTGAGTTGCAGTCGCAGCAGTGGCAGTCGTCGTAGTAGTGGCTGGTCGCGATGGTAGTTTGCGAATGGTAACATTGGACACTTGCAAAAGGGATTTCGAAATACGCTCCTAAACTGCAGCTTCCGCGCCTGCACTCCCGCTGGTTATCTCTAGGTTCAGGCATCTAGAGCGTAGAGAAGTGGTCTGGGTGAACCCGGGAAAGCCGAGGAATGCAGCTGGGGCAGCTGCCATGCACCGTGCACTTCGCAGACCCACATGACCAACACTCAAAGAGACCAGAGTGCCTTCGGGGAAAAAGTCCTGTCCTGAACAAAGGATATGCAGGTACGATGTTTCTTGTACAGTACATCTTAGTACTTGTTTCTGAGCCTCCGGGGTCCATAAAGCCATGCATGACAACCCTCTGTGCACCGGCGCGACCCTATCAGTCGACGGCGCAATTCACACAGCGGCCGTGGCGTTTGGAAATTGTCCTATTGTTGTCTCATGGCGAAGATTTACTTATGTGTTGGCACGAATTTGATGGCATCCTCGCCGCGTAGTCTCCACCGGTGCTTGTGTTGTTCTTGTTGGCACTGCTGCCGTGGCTATCGCTCGTCGCCGTGGTCATCGTCGCTGCTATGCCTAGTTCTGCAGGCACATGGACAATGAGAGTGCACGGGTAGCGATGTCTATCCTGGTAGCAGTATGACGATGATTGTGGTCCGCAGTTTCCAGATGACTGTTGTCGTGGCTTTGTTGCGGATGACAACGACTCGAAGATTAAGCGCTATTGATGATGATGTCGACGGTGATCTGATCATTGCACATGGTGGCTTGGATCTCTGTGATGTTGCTGTTGATCCTGATGTGGTTCTGTGGACGAAGATGATGACGGCGATCATGACATTCATAGTGCAGCTGGGCAGCAGATGCAGGCTTCTCAATCAAGCTTATTTTGTTTCTGTTGTTAAGTGCATGTATACAAGAAGCACATGAACAAGTAACTTAATCAACAACTGGATACGGAAGTAGGTAAATAGCTAACATCAATAGGAAAACGGTAATGATGACGGTAATGACAACAATGATAAGAAGATGAGTACTAGTACCGTCGAACATGAATAGTAGTAGTAATGATGTCAGTGATCATGATGGTGATGATGATGTTGGTGATGATAAGAATGAAAATAATCGAAATGGTGTTGTAAAGTTAGAATCACAATATCATTACTTTTTACAATAATGAGAAACATACATAAATATATACATATATATGGTGTGTGTATAATAAAAATTGGTGATAAAAAATCATCAAAATCAAATCATGCGATGGTTTTGGCGACAACAGAGCAATTTTCATAACTATAGCAAGAATAATGATGATACGTGTAATCCTGGTACTACTACTATTTCTTCTTCTTCTTCGACTACTACTACTATTTCTACTACCTTACTGCTACTACTACTACTACTACTACTGCTGCTAGTAATAACGCCTCTACGTCTACTTCTTCTACTACTACTACTAATACTAACACTTCTGCTGCTAATAACAATAACAGCAACGGTTACAACAGCGAAAATGACATCATAACAACCATCATAGTCAGAATGAAGAGGGTAATAACACTTCCGATACATATATATATATATATATGTGTGTAACTAGTTCCATCACAGATGTCAGCAACTTAACGCATGAAAATGCCATCGGCTCTCTCTTCCTGCAGCTTGAGCTTGTTTGTGTTTTTGTCTTTTTTGGTTGTTTGGTTATTTGTTTGTTTTGCTCGTTCGTTCCTTGGCTGGTGTGTTTGTTTATAGCTGAGCTTTGGTTCATTCTTTTGCTGCTTCAGCTGCTATGATACCTTCGAAGTATCTGCACACTCATGTACCATGCATGTCTACCCTGCCCGTCTGCAACATTTCCGCTGCTCGTGTTCTGCAGGACTTGAACAGGAAATCCGACCTCCAAGGCAGCGAAGCAAGGTGTTGGACCTGGTTGATCTAGCTCGTGAGGGATCTAGGGCCGGCTTGGGTCTCTAGCGGCAGATCCGACGGCAGCCTATTCCCAGGCAGCCCAAGACTTTTCATCAACAAATTTTGTATAGATCCTCATGAGAGAGCGTATATGCTTCATGCAATAGTCTTGAAACAGGGGGCATTTGCCTCTCGGCGTGTGGAGATGATCTGGACTTCCGGGTGCTGACAGTTGTGACATACCATTTGCAGCCCTCCCGGACCAGGGACGCAGCATGATGAACAGTCAGGCTTAGCCGCCATGGATCTTTGTAGATCATGGGCCTGTGCTGCCAGGCATTCGCCACGGACGCTGCCGTCTTTCATATTATGAAGAGAAGGTCCAGGTTTCGTTGCAGATTTGTGCACAAACTCTCATCAGCTTGCTCCTCTTTCGGCACGTGTATAAAAATTAGGGCTGGGTTATGGGTTGAGGGTGTTACGGCCTTGTATTGTTTGGAAATGCACACCCTGCTCTGCGTCTAGCCGTGATCTCGAGGTCCCAAGTCTCGTGGTATGGCTCAAGCTTTCCCGGCGGCTCGAAGAATGAGAATTAGCAAGTTTGGAGCATTACGGGGTCGGAAACCTTCACGCACTGTCAGCTTGGACAGTATGCTGATGTCGTCAGCAGGGAAAATCAAAAGCAGAGCCTGAGATTCCCATAGCCTAAACGAGCCTCGTTACTGTAAGCTGTGTAACCCCCATCTCTGAATGAGGAGACGTTCCAGCTCGCGCCAGGCTTGGCCATCTTGTCTAGGCGGCCTTTGATCGCATGGGCGTGACGTGTGTCGCAAAAGAGTCCACTGCGCTTGATAGGAAGCCATGGGGTTACCCTGAGAGTCCACGGGTTCAAACTGTGCAGACTCAGGCCCAAGAGGGAGGATGTGGTTGGAGTGGTAGCGGCAGTAAGGCGAAGTTGTATGCATACTCGTATTCGTAGCCTCTTCGTCAACAAGAAGTTATCGTCATGGTCCCTTGTGACAGCAGTGGCATCCACACTCCATGTGCTATGTCTACGATTGGATTAGATTTGTTCTTCCTGGTCGTCGCCTCAAAGGCCTCAGGTTCAATTTCGCGGGCAACATGGATGCAAGATTTTGGGTTGGAGCTTGTGAAGAAAACCTTGAACACAAACCCTTACCGCCTCAAGAACCCTCGTAACTGCAAGGCTGTTTGGCATAGATTGAACCTCGCATTGGCTCTTGCTTTTTCCGGCCTGTGCAAGTTGTGTAGGTCTGCAACAACCAGCCATTTCCCTGCTTAGACTCATGCATGCCCAATGTCCTATGCGTTATGAAAGATTTGCAGACTTATGAATGATTCTGAACCTCGGTGTTATGAGCTTAAAGCTCGGTTTTGTGAGTCCTTTCCACTGGCGAGGCCTTCCCCTCGGAGATAAGGCAGAAGGCGTCCCTGCAAAGTTGTAGCCTCTTTAGCCCATGCGCAGTTTACGCAAGCCATGGCATCCAGCGCTGTGTTTGGGCGCTTCTTGGCGGCAACTTGCTCGTTGTCCAAAGGGCCCGAAGCGGGCGGGAGCTTCTTGGTCCTGAGTCGGAACATTCCACGCCTTGAATATCCTCAACGCCAGAAACAGCAAACCAGAAGCTTGAAGATCCCTGCATCCCTCAAGCCTAAAAACCTTGCCCTAGGCAAGTACCGAAGCATCCTGTGCAACTCCGTCTGAGACCCTGCAAAGCACCTAGAGGGCCGCATCTGAAGGTCCTAGCCTTCGGGCTCCATCTCCTTTCCTGGGCCTTTGTGCCGCCCAGCGCCGTGAGGACCGGGAGGGGACCGGGAGGCTGATCTCTTTGGGGTTCCAACAGTCCGGCATTCGGTCGTTAGTGCTGGTAAGGTCCAGGTTCGAGGGTCCAGTCCGCGCAGGGCTTAGGGTCCGACAGCTATAGCCTTGAGGATGCTGGGGCATTGATGGAATATCGGGCTTTGCCGTTTTGGCAGGGCTTGTTTATAAAGAGTTGTGGATCTCCGTCGGGATCAATGGAGGTATACAAGTCATAAAGCACAGCATTTAAAGGTTGGTAGGATTTGCGGTAGGAGGACCCCAGCAAGGGGACCTTCAAGAAACCTGTATATTCACTGTTCAGCTGGTATCTCAAAAGACTATAACTCAAGGCTCCAATTGCTCACTGTTTAATGTGTGGGGTTTCAGACAGTTCTGGGCCCTTGTGAAAAAGGATCCTACTAGTTCGGGTACATATTGAATTCCATTGAGCATCAGTCATTTCTGAAACTCGCATGTCTTTCGAGCCCTTTGGTGTTTACAGGTGTTGTAGGGTATTGTAAGGATACACAGTCGCCAGGGGGTTCAGGGAAATACATGTAAGCATGCTTACAAGTACTTGAAAGATCCTGCAAGCAATCTTTTCAGCCCTAATGCAAGGAGGAGACCTTCGCATGTCCTCCGTCGCAGCCAAGGCTTCGCAATTCAGGGCTGAGGATTTTGATTCGGGGAGGAATGGTGAGCTGTTGTGTTTCTGATGGGGTCGCCGGATTCAGAAATGATAATCTGACTGTGTCTTCGAAGAGGGTCATCTGTTCGCGTGTAGGTCTAGGACAGGGACTTCCTGTTCTTAAGCGTCGAGGGCGTCGGGTATATGCAGCAACAAAAGTTCCTACTTGGTATTTCTAATGTTGGCAGCAAGTGGGCAACGGTATTGCTCGTGGACAATGACAAAATCCTGGGCATTCTGTACTCACTGCCATGCTCCGTCAGTTCGCCCTTATGAAAATTATGGAAAATGACCAGAGTATTGACCCCTCTCGAGCCTCAAGGAACCGTTCGAAGCCCCTCAAACCCCGAACCCTCGACCCTGAACCCAAACAAACCCTCGAGCTTGTCAGCAGTAGGTCAGTAGGACGCTCACCCTCAGAGCTCAATGTCCTTTACTTGAGTTATCTACACTGGGCATACTCTAACACTATGGAGGCTGCTTTGCTTATCTTTACCTTGAATGTGCAGAGTCGTTTATTGATGTTTATCGTGCTCTTTGGACAGGGGAGGAGGTCGATCCAGTAGACACGGTGGAAGCCGATGCAGACGAGGAACCATGGGAGGGATAGTATGGGACCTCCAGTCGGGTCTAGGAGTCTAGGGTTTTTGGGCCGACCCTGGACTTTAAGGTTCACAATAGGGCTCCAGAAAAGTTTCCCGAACGTTGGTGACTGTTGATTCCCTCAAAGGTAAACTTTGGCCCGACTCCCATTCAATGGCATAGTGCTAGCGGTGAAAGTTTATTGTCGGCATCGCTAACATCCAAGAAGCTGCGATCTTATACAGACTTTACAAAGCTCCAGGCCTTTGAATGTGTAATGCGTATGTCTCAAAGTTCGAAGTTCAGAACGTCAAGCACATGTAAACCTCAACGCTGAAGCCTCGCACCCCGAGCACCGAAGCTTTAAACTGTTCGAGCCCACGGCACCCCAATGGGCCCAAGCTCCAAACCGTACGACTGCATACATCCTTTGATGTATGTATGTATGTATGTATGTAGGTATGTACGTCTGTCTGAGTGTATGTATGCATGTATGTAAGTAAGAAAGGAAATAAGCTAGTAAGTAAGTAGTAAGTAAGTAAGTAAGTAAGTAAGTAAGTAAGTAAGTAAGTCAGTGAGTGAGTGAGTGAGTGAGTGAGTGAGTGAGTAAGTAAGTGTGTATGTATGTATGTATGTATGTATGTATGTATGTATGTATGTATGTATGTATATATGTATGTATGTATGTATGTATGTATGTATGTATGTATGTAAGACTGACGATATGTACAACCACTAGGTAGACAACTGTGAACATATCCTCTTTCTATTGATTGAGTAGTTGAATTGTGTTTATATACTCGCACACACACATTATATATATATATATATGTACATGTATATGCATGTACAAGCATATATAAGTACAAAAAGATATACAGGTATGTCTACACTCAGCTCATATACTTCTGCAGCTCTTTTGCGAGGAGGACGAGGTCCTCTACTTCGGTGGCGTCTCGCAAGAGCGGGAAGAGCCTGAGGCCCTCTGAACTGGGGGAGTTGCATGTTCAGGGTTTATGGGATGTGGGGTTAGTTTGTTGCTGAGGGGTGGGAAGGGGATTGGAGTTTGGGGCTGGATCAGTCATGTAGCCTTGCTTCGGCTATTTCGTTTCCGTGCCAGGGACAGAGAAACCCCGCAATAAAATCCGAAACCCTCAGCTCTGAGCGCCCTAAACCCTATGTATGCCCAAAAAACCAAACCCGAGACACATTTCTAGAAGAACAGGTCCTTCGGCCTCGGCCCAACCACCTTCGAGCCTCCAGAAGCACTGACCGAAGAAGTGGTACTTCTGTCCTCCCGTAGCATAGACTTGTAAAGTCTTACAGCATATAGCATCATATATATATATATATATGTATGGCACACGCATTTCTCTATTTGTATACACACATACATACACACATGTATGCATGAATGCATGGATTTCGGTCAAAAATCATGAATGCTACGGCGCAGGAGACAGAAGCCATGCAGATCGCCGGCAGGATTAACCAGGCACCATGGCTTCGAGAACGTTTGATTTCCTTCGAGGTCATGGTACAGGGATCTCCATAAATTTACTTGTGCTTTCCTTGATGCTTTTACCCGTGTTGGGGGGTAGTGGGTGGTGTTTCGGGAGGTTGGGAATTCGGCACACGGCCCTCATGCAGGCTTGACCAGCAGACGTCCACTCACAGTCTTTCCCCACAAAAGATCAAGAACTTCTCCTGAAGACCGAACGGCTGGTGCCAGGCCCTGGCGATGCGACGCTTGCCACTGGCCCAGCTCGAGCTGCGCACTGAGTGGGAGCTTGAAGCCGAAGCTGCCTAGGAGCCCAGTCAAGGGCATTTGTCCTTGCTAGGCCATTCGGAGATATGTTATACGAACAGTGCGAGGTACGGCGTTTGATTGTTGTTGAGCTGTTTTTGCTTTTGGGAGTTTGGTATTCTCACAAGGCGTGGTATGTGTTTTGGCTTTGGACTGTTGTTCGTAGGGGTTCGATCTGAGTAGACTGTTGAAGTCGGGAGCCGGGAGCATCTTCGAAAGCTTCTTGAAGTCCGCGAGAGGCACTGTGTAACCGTAGCAAGTTTCAGCTGAGAGGGCATCCGTGATGTAGACCTGGAAAGAGATGTGCATTCTTCCTCTGCCTAGCTAAATTCAGAGCAGAAGCCCTCGGAGCCCTTGCCTAATGATTGGGGCTTCTTCCCTGTTCATGCATGGGTTTCAGGCAATTTCCAGGCAATGTCTCTTTCGGGGTCATTGTTTTAAAAGGGGCCCACGACAGGGCCGTTCTCACACACGGAGAAATATACACATTTGTACAAATATACGGATATATACGCAGATATATATATATATATATAAACACATACATACATACATACATACACACATACATATATACATACATGCATGCATACATGCATGCTTACTTACGTGCATACTTACTTACGTACTTACATGCATACAGACACCAAAAAAATAATCGAAAGCCCCTCTCGTTTGTGCAATGTTTCTTAGCCAAGTGGCACTGGGCTCTCCGAGTACATGCGTTCTTGGACGCTATTATAAGACCCTCGAGGCTTCTGGGAAGAGGGATTGTTTTCTTGAGAGGTCCTCTGGCCAAGGACAGACAAGTTACAGACAGATGCATGCAGCTACCTTCTTTAGGGCTCCCTGTGTTACAGGACTAGAGCAAAAGCACTGTCTCGTTTGCTTGAACTGAGTTTTTGTTCTTATATCGAGCTGCAAAACAGAGCATTTTCTGAATGTCCCCCTAACAAGAACCTTGTAAGGCCCAAAGACGCCTGGGCGAAGGAAAATGTTAGGAAGCAGTTGAAAACCCTAAAGGACAGCCCTGCCCGATTCAACACGCCCCTGCAGGGAAGCCCCGATCGCGCCGGTAGAAACAGGATGGCTTGAATCTTAGCATGGGGAGTGTCAAGTCGCGGGAAGATCCTTTTTAAGTTGCCGTTTCACGTAACCTTTGAGTGCCGGTGTGACGGGCTTGGGCGTTTAGGAGCCTCAGAGCTTTGAGGGTTTGCAGGTTTTACAGTGTAACACAGTGTAGGGCGTACGGCTTAGTCATGTTTACTCAGGGTTGTGGGCAGGGTGCTGTTGAATCGGCTTGCACGTTAGCTCAAGAGAAAACATATATCAAAGTGGATACTCTATGGCAGATCAGGATGCATCTCGTTAGCAATGCATCGGCGCCCTCCGAACTCTGAGCGAAAGCAAATTCTTGCCATGGAATTCATCCAACTGCCAGTTGTTCAGTCTTAAAACCCCTTAGGTACCAAAGTCATACAAGTTGCTGAGCTGCACCTACACACCTGAACCAGTGCTGAGGTACGAAGAGTTGGACGTGCTGCCCAACGCCACGACGGAAGAGATCCGACTGAAGCGCCCAAGTGTCGGCGAGCGGTAGATAACATGATAACAGCTCCATTTCTGACAAATGCACGAAGACAAAACAGTCAGTGATGTGTAAAGCTGTAGCCAGATATCGAGTAGTTGAAGCTGCTTTTGCTGAGACTCTCTGCAAGCCCATGGGCGCATGCCTCGGGTGTCCTGTGCACAGGTACTTAGAGATCGCAGAGGATGTAGAGGACTGTGCTGCTGCCATGGCCGGCAAGGGAGCAGTGTAAGCCGTGTCCACACTGCAGAGTCAGCACGTGCATAGTGACATATATATATATATATATGCTTGCACGGCAGTAGACTGAGTCTATCCCTTTGCAGGCATGTGATGTCATTTGTTCACGCATTTGCAGCTGCAGGGCCACTGTTCCCGTATACTCTGCACCGTCTTCCTCACGTGAAATTCGGCGACCCTATAAACCAGACAAAGCAAGATAACAAACAAGCTCAACTTTAGCCCAGCCCAATAGCATGCAACCACCGTCCCCCGACAGCCTTAAGGGCAGCTAACGGCCAAGCCCTACGCCCCTGAATCCGAAGCTTCCAAAGTCAGCACGCACTTTTCAGAAGAAAAGGAGCGGCTGGGGTACCTTCTTGAAGAAGGCCGGGCTGCATTTGGCCATTGGGCGACTTAGGAGATTTTGGTGTCTGTGGGGTTCAAGAGTTCAGGAGTTGTTAAGGCTGAGGGTGTTAGGGACTAAGGTTTCGGGGCCTAGGGTTTGGGGGTTTAAGCGGTTTGGGTTCAGGTTGCATTGTCTCTGCATGTCTCCATATCGTAGGGACTTTGGCACTGCTGGTCTTGAGACGAAGTCTTGTAAGTTCCTCACATGTAGTCTTTCTCGCTCCGGGAACTTTAAGCTGGCAAGCATACCAGCTTATATATCTGCGTCTTATGCCAGCCTACCTTCCGAACATAAACCCGGTCAAGACCATAAAGCTGACTGTCAGATGCCTCGTCGGGACAAGTCAGGGACGGGTGCCCTTACCATCGAAAAGTCGATGTATGAGCTGATGACACCCTTAACTAACGTGTCAGGGGTCGTGGCAGGGCCTCCATGAGGTTTCTAACAGGATTCATTTGGGGCGTTGGGGGTTAAGGCGCAGCCTGGTGATGGCCAAGAGTACTCGTGCCAAGAGTGCTGCAAGTTGAAACCAATCAAACTGGTTCTGGTTCAGGGTTTAGGGGTTCGGAGACTGTTTTCCTGGAGACCCATTGGACTTGGTGGAGTTAATCATCTAGAGCCATACACCCTCAGGCCCTGATGCCGTCAGCCCCGAGACCTGAACGACCGAAAAATGCCTCCCGCAAGCTGCGACGTTCAGGAAGAGGCGGCTCCTACGAGGCTCGGTACGGAGGGTTCCCAGAGACTACCCCAACACCCCGTAAACATGCAGAAAAATCTGAAGCTATATAGGTCTTCTTAGTATGGCTGAGGTATGTTTATTTTGCGGGATGGAATGGGCCCTGT